GAGTGAGCAAATTACAGAACTTGGGATTGAGCCTTGGGGAGGGGAAGGGATTCTGGGGGAGGTAATTTGTGCTCTCCTGTCCTCCCTTAGTCCTAGTGTCACCTACCATCGACCCTGTTTTGTTGTTTTGTTTTGAATGTTTCTCCTTAAGGACATGAGCGCCTCGATCAGCAAGAACATATATAGTTGACACTAAATACTATATCTCCGTAGAAATTCCCAGCTTTAGTTTTTCTTATTTGCTTTGATGGTAGTAATGGAATTGATGGTAGGCATCTTTATGAAAGTTCTCTCTATTTCATCCCCTTGCGCTGAAATTTCCCCCCCCCCCCCCCACTGCATTCGAATCTTCGCTCGCGGAAAGTTTGTTTCAAATCGCAGAAATATGCGGAGTTTATCCGCAACCTCACACGCTTGAATTCTGAATTCTACTTCAGAACACGCGAAGCCTTGTCTCCTCCGGGTCGCCGCGCAACTCGCCGCGTGCCAACCCGGACGAGCCAAAAGTTCCGCACCCGTATTTAAAGGCAGCGATTACGATAATTCTAAGAGGGTTCAGGGAGACGTGGTGGTGCTCAAGTGGTACGCCAGTGGCAAAAAAGCAGAGAAATCCGTCAAGAAAACGCAAAACGGGACCCTTTTTGGCCGTTGGTTTTCACTCATGAACAGGTAACAGCTCAGAAAGCGGACGTATGAACGAGTTCACCGCAACGCGTTTGGTGGCACCATGCCAAACCACGCTCCAATCGAGTTGCTCCAGTTGTGCTGCTGGCAACGCAGCTCGTCCAAATCACCAACTAAACTAGTGGGCGGATCGCTTTTGGGGGCGGAGTGCTTTCGAAGTCCTGCTCAGCAACCAGCGCACCTTTCGTCGTGAAAGCGCCACACCTCGCTTCCTTGGCAGCCAAGTAACTGCTTCGTGTGGCGCACATGCTTTCCCGATGCGCTTCCTCTTTATCGTAATCGCTGCCTTTACCCTTATGGGGTATCCAGAAGGGTCGATGACGGTCAGAAGGGTAGAGTGACGAATGTGTGGTTAGTTTTCAGCGCAGTACTGACTTGAATAATAAATCAAATCTGAAACTGATTACCAGCTGGCATAGAAAGCGCGACGACCAAAGTATAAAATAATTCCGGCGATAACGAGCGCTATAAGAGATCCACAGAAGAATCCGTAGAAGATCATCCAGATCAGCCACCCTGTACGCGCTTTGTGCAGATATGTTCCTTTACCTGAAATTGAAAGCTGATTAGTAGTATTTGTTGTTAGA